ATTTTATATTTTCTCATTTGGAATGTAGATTCTTATAGCAATCACTGTGCACAAATTTATTTTACCCGATTAATTTTTAATGGACTGGAAGTAAAAATGTTGGGTCTGGACCTGGTCAATCCGTCTAGAAAAGCCAAGCGATTCTTCTTAAGAGACCGGTCTACGAAAATATTTGTCAAATTATATGAATAACTCTAGGTCACGTAAGGTAATTTAGGAACTGACAGTCGAGTTTTCTCACAATGAGATGTCTACAAGATACACTCAGCTCACTATCGGATCCCTTTGGGGATACTGCTGAGATTTGGCCGATGTCGAAACTGGAATCCAGTCATAATAGAATAGCCCTTTGAGAGGTAAGGCCAATTGAAATTTAATGACATCCTGAGACCTACTAATCCTATTGTGGGAAAACTTACTACCAGACTTTAAATTGCCTTAACCTACCTAGGTTGACAAAGTCATTATTTAAGATTTACTGAGAGATTTGAAAATGACATTTTAACAAAATGAAGGTCAGCCAAATAGTGATATATCTAGCTTTTTATTGAAACCGATTAGCGCTTTTACGCAGCCACTGAACTGCACAAATAGACTGCCAATAGCAGTGACTTAGAAAGAAACAGCAAAAAAGATCTTATGGTTGCAGAGCCCTTGCAAGCTTTTTGGCTTTTCCAAATGATAATCGTTATAACACCAGGGTTAAAAGTCTGGTTCAATCTAAAAGAAGGTAGAATATTTTCATAGACATCATAGCCTACAAATTAACTAAAATAGCACAATCCATCAAGATGGACAAAACCTTCCCTACTTTTTATTTTCCACTCGACAGAATGTAGAAGGCAATGCCTTAGGCAAGCTTAGAATATAGATAAACTTTAATAATTCCGAAGTTAGGCAAATAAAGGCTTCCAAACGATTGTAGCTGAACGAATATTTGAAAAACAATTGCCATTAGTTTCCAATACATGAAAGAGCAATATCTAAGATTGCGAGTCTGTATGTGGGGTAGGAAAACAGGTAGCAAAATTTGTCTAGGCTTTGTGGTTGATGGGGAAAAATTATTACATAAATTAAGGGTTAAGTTTAAGCTAAGCAAGACCAAAGAAGAATCGATTAAGGAGGACAAGATTAAAGTTATAAAGAAAAAAGTTGATAAGCTTTACAAAAGTTTAGCAAGACTATTGAACCAAAACGAACAGTCATCATCACCACTTCCCGTGATTTAATCCCCTGAATGGGATGCAAGTAACAAACTTTAACGAAAGTCCTGTTGAAGCATGGCATAAATAGCATGTGAATGGTTTACGGCTATTTAGATAAAGTAGTAGGAAGACACAATGAAGGTCCATACTCTATTCAGGCCTAGAATGCACACAAAACAAAGATTTGGAGCACTCCAACTAGCTCCTTGTGAAGGGCCTCTCAATACAAGATATTTTAGAATAAATGGCATTATTGTGTGAACGGCTTCATCCTTATCTTGCCTTAAGCTTGCTGAGACTGAATTTTAGGATCTTTAGATATGATGGCCTGAAGACCAAGATGGCGTGGCCTTTTGTGTGGTCGTAGTCTCCTTTCGTTGTATATAAGTTGTTTGACCTTGTTTTCGCATCATGGTCTTTTTGGTAGGAAGACTTAGAGGAACGCGCCTTGTCCGGAGTCCATTGTCTGCCTGATCATTTCCAAAGTTGGACCGTGGACGTGGTACATTCCCAAACGTTTCGACGGCATCGTCAATGAGTATCGCTATTCCTAGCACCATACAACAACTCGTCAAAGAGACAAGCTGGCATAAAGATCAAGACAGTGTGGCCTTTTGTGTGGTCGCAGTCTGCTTTCGTTGTATAAAAGTTGTTTTACCTTGTCAAAGAGACAAGTTGTTGTATGGTGCTAAGAATGGCGATACTCACTGACGATGCCAGCGAAACGTTTGGGAATGTAGCACGTCAACGGTTCAACTTTGGAAATGATCACGCGTACACTGGACTCCGAACTAGGTGCGTTCCTCTAAATCTTCCTACCAATATGACCATGATGCAAAAACAAGGTCGAACAACTTTTAGATATGATGCTTTGAGAGAACCAGATATAAAAATTGCCTTTGGTAGGGGCGGAAGGGGACCAGTTCAATAGTCAACAAAAGATAGCAAAAGAAGGTATGAAGACCAAGATGGTTTCGCCTTTTGTGTGGTCGTAGTCTCCTTTCGTTGTATAAAGTAGTTTGACCTTGTTTTTGCAACTTGGTCATATTGGTTGGTAGACTTAGAGGAACGTACCTTGTCCGGAGTCCATTGCTTGCATAATCATTTTCAAAGTCTGACTGTGGACGTAATACATTCCCAGACGTTTCTGCCCTGGGCTATTCACATTTCCTATATCCTCCTATCCCAATTTCACTGTTACAATATTTCCCTTGCTTATTTAAGTCTAGTGTGCTGTG